AATCAAGTGATACCATAAACCCTCTCTATTGTGATATATATGGTAAATTAATGTTTGAAACAGAACAGGGAAAAGATGCACTAGAATTTTAATGAGCAGCTTCTTAGGATAAATTACTTGCGTTATATATATATATTTGGCATAGTCAGTAAAATATGTTTATCCATGGAGCGAACTGGTACATTTTGTCCGCAACAAGTACGGTCAGTTTTGTGTCCATGTCAGTTCATAAATTCATAGAACACATTTTTTGGTTAAATTTGTAAAGTCTGTGAGATATGATGAAAGTATTAAATCGATAATGGCAATATTCTTTTCTATGAAGGCATCTGAAAACCACAGTCCCTCTATCACTGTGTCAAAACTAAAGTCGGGGCTAATGCTACGACTCCGGCGCTACGACCACCATAACATTGTCAGCTGACAGCATTGCGGGAAAATTACGGGTATTTACCGCTGCCGATATCTTACTTTTCTGTGACAAAATGCACACATTTCGAACCCCTGGTTAATTAAAAATAAACGATTATTTTAGAAAATACATCGAAGCACAGTGCCTTGAGGGACTGTGGGCGAAGTAGGCAGCGAGGAGTTGTTTTAAACACCGCAGAAAATCTTGCACTCAACCATCTTGGTTACCTCAATCAGAATTTCCCCTTGTCACCCAGCATGCATTGATTGCGATATCGCAACGTGCACTGTGTCGCCTTGGGCGACGGTCTTAGGTACAAGACACTCTATGAATAAGGTATTTTCAGAGGTCAGGGTTCGTTTTTTATAAGCAGTCTCGTCTGCAGATGAATAGCCGTAAATAATAAGTCCATATAATTTAATTGTCTGTTTTGATACTAAGTGTCACTGGAATTTTCATGGCGTACGCTGCATTTGTTTGTCCGGATTTTGCGATGCCGCACTCCTGAAAGAACTGTTTGAAAATTGAACACGCAACAGTAGTAAAGGCTTGAACACAGTAGCGTAAGTCTCAAGTGCAACTTTGTATCAACAAATGTTCGTCTTTTGATACTTATTAGCTGTCAGAGACACATATCAATTGTCCAGCCCAATGAAAAGTCTGATTCACATCCTCTGCTCAATTTGCGACTCCAGCACAACAGTTTATCAAAACAAATCAATTTATTCAGCATGCTGTTCACCGATATATTAAAGAGTGTTTTTTTAGGCAAGGGACGCGGTAAAATGACTACTGTACACCAATAAATCAACACATTTTAGAGACAACTATCTAGTCTTCAAAAAGCAATGTAAACTCTGTCAATCCTAAAAATAAACAACAGCTTGAAAGAGGTGTGAATGAGATCGGTTCGAACCGCAGTTTTTATGCAAATTCGTGCGGTCGTCCTGAACCGCACTGTCTATTGTTTAAACTTCCAAACCGCAAAACTGGGTTTTGTTCGGGCGGTTTGGGGCGGTTTGGGTTTTCGTAGATTTGACCTGCGTGTTTGAATATGAGATCACCCCTAAGTCCATGGGTAGGATAGCGAAAAATTTACAAATTAGTGATGTAATGCGTAATTCTTTTTTCTACTGAAGAATACAGAATCTGGAGTTGATGTCCAAGTATGGTAGCAATGCTTGGAGGGCTCACAATGAGTAAGTATAGTTTAATGTTAAATCAAAGATTCATAGGATATATAAGTGAATATTTTACAAGGGAACTTGTAAGCATAGCATGTGCATGTCAGTTGAATGTATTTCTAACCTATAGCATTACAAAATGCAATAAATACTTGGAAAAGTTTGATTGCAAGAATAATGGAATATACAAAAAAGCAAGTATTAATTTACACTGTAAATATGGCATCCATATTGGAATGTTGACATTACATTGTAAATATAACAGCCATATTGGAATGTTGACATTACACTGTAAATATGGT